CTTGTGCTCTTCCAATTCTCTCCCCCATCCCACCAGGAGCGAGAGGCTGTGTGGTGCTCAGTTGCCAACTGAGGTTAAACCACGACACAGCCATTGGTAAAATCACAGAGTATCTTCACAAAGAATCCTGTTTTCTCCACCAGGCATTTTATGAGATAAAGAAGAGTTACATTCCTCTTCACCTGTATCTGTTATGTATCTATTTCTTCATTACTGCTGCTGTGATTGTCTATTTTTCCACGCAAAGATTTACCCTGCAAAGGAAGATAAAGGGCCCTAATACATCAGCTACAGAAGGAGCAAACACCTCAAGAACTGGCTGACTACTAGTGGCCTGAAGTAAGCAGAAGGCAACAATCAGCTTTTGAGGTTTTAAGCAACTTCTCCAGTGGGAAAGCTACTTCAAGTAAATAAAAAACCAAGCTCAAGACAGAATTGTTTTCACACAGCAAATCCCATACCCGCATAGCTGGTAAAGCCTCAGGAATTCAGCCTCTTCAGAGCAAAAAGGAAAGCCAGCATTGAAATCCACAGAACAGCTGGGGACAAGATATCCGTGTCATCACTGACTAGCTGTGCCATGCTTTGAAAACGTTAAAAGTTGATTAACTGTACTACTTTATTGACCTGAAGGGCCAGACCTAAGGGAAAAGTCCTCACCCACGCTGACACCTGGGTCTCTCAAAACCCAAACGTTGTCTCCTGTTAGGCAGCAGCAGCTTGTTCCCACGTGGGAAACACCCATTCCTGCCTTGCTGAAGGCATGGGAAGGGCTCGCTTTTGGCTGTCACCACTGCCCCTGGGCGCCATCCAGCCTGCTGCTTGGGCGCTTCTCACTCGACCTGGCCACAGGTCCCTAAATGCCTGCCCCTATGGCGAAGGGCACCGAGCACTGGGCACGCTTCCTTCTCCATCTGCCCAGAGGAGAGCCAGTGGTATGTCGCTGTTCCAGGTAACTCAATAGCAGGAGGCATAAAAGTATCCAGGCAACACGGGGGAAAAAAAAAGAAGAAAAAAAGAAAAGGAAGGAAAAAAAGGAAAAAAAAAAAGAAAAAAAAAAAGAAAAAAGAAAGAAAGAAAAAAAAAAAGCCAGATTGACAAATCATTCCCAGCTATGAACAATATGTTTGGATTATGAATATGTGCTCCAGCACGTTCAGGTTTATGGGTTCTGACTTTCTACATTACTTAATGGCAATAAGTAAATCACCTAATCCAGGCGTCTCACTTCCCGGCAGGTTACTAATATATCATGGAAACAATTTATTGCAATCTGTGCACGGAGCAGAAAAAATCCCAAACAAACCCAATTTGAAGCCAGCTCATGTACTTTAAAAGGAAAACAGCGTCAACTACATGAATATATCCCAGCAGGGAAACTTTCTGATAAGATAACCATCTCTAACCACTGAAAAAATGTTGCGGTGCAGCCAAAGGTACTGTGTCAAAAATAAACTATGAAAGCAGAGTATGAGTTTATTTCAATACGAGGGATATGTTTTCCTCACCCAACACACCTTCCTAGGCAATCGCCACACAGAGTGTGCCTGGTGGCAAGGCACAAGCACAAGAAAAGGCTGCAAAACCACAGAAGATCCAGATCACACGACCTTCACCTGCCTGTGCAGTGCCTTAAGGCAGATTAAATAAAGCCACCCCAGGGAACAGACTTATCTAGAGGAGGCTGCCCTCGCCCCGGGGAGCAGCAAGTTCTCCTGTCGCTGGGACCAACCCGTCGCCCGTTCTTGATAACTGGGCAGCCTCCCCGTGCTCATGGCCAGCCACAGGAGATGGGTACTGGAGGAGGAGAGGGCACTTGCTGGAAGAGGCCACCTCGGGGCCAGGGAGAGCTGTGAGCAAGGGTTGCCTGGCTGTTCCTGTCACTCAGCGAACAGAGATTCACGTTAACTGTGCATTTCCCCTGTCATCATCCCCAAGCGGTCAAAAACTTCAGCCAGGTCCCCAAAACTCAGGTTTTTGTTTTTAAAAAAAAAAAAAAAAAATTGAGTTATTGAAACAAAGACTAGAGGATTACTTTTATTCCAGAGGGTTTGTGTGTTTTGAGATTCTCTATCCAAAAACATAGGTTCAGAGGCATCCCACCTATTGGAGACCCCTAGAGAGAGACCTTCAGAGACCAGAGCTACTGCACACATGCAGTCCTTGAGCCCTTCCCACTATAAAGGGACACTATAAAGGAAAACTATGACCCTACCTAGGATGGGAGAGTGGGAAGGAGGATCAATTCCAGCACATTACACTGATTAGAGGCTCAGGCTTTTGGAAGAGCACTGATCATCTCAAGATTAATCATTACGCTGCAAGAACCGACAATGCCGGATTTTCTTTTTCTTCCCAGTAACATCAAAATGAGACCAGAGATGGGCAGTACAGCTGGACAGTGTTCCAGTACACGCAACACGAACACTGGAAAAACACTCCCACCCACCTCCCCATGCAAACATATACATATATACACAGGCATGTATGTACATAGGTATGCACACACCAATCCAGAACAAACTATGAGGGAGAAACAAGGCGATTTGGGTGCCCCTCATGCTGTGATGACAAACTTAGAGCATCACAATCTTTGGAGAGAAACTTTCAACAGGTCCGTGCCATGGTGGGAAGCCCCAGCAGCGACAGCCAGAGCTGCTCTTGCCTGCCTCTGATCTTCTCCTTCATGTCTGCAAGTCAAACCAACAGCCCTTTACACCAGCTGTGAAGGAGACTGCTGATGGGCTAATAGGACTTTTTTTTTTTTTAAATAAAATTTTTCTCTCACAACAATGCATCCTACCCAAAATGTCTAGGAGGAAGAGGGAGGAAGGCAGACAAATTTTCCTCTGCACGTCTCCTCCATAAAGGCATTTCGCACTCACCACTGCAGCAGCAAAGAGGGGACTTACCTAAATACACACATGGGTCCTAGTGGGAGAGGAAACATACAGAAACAAGAGTGTCTCCTATAGATGCTCATTGCAAGGAGACAACGCTAAAACCAGAGACTCCTTAACATGCAGATTACCAACTTAAAAGCTTGTGAGCATTTCCAAATATGAACTGTAACGGTTTGGGGGTTATTACAGAAGT